TTTACGAGCCCTGGCGGCTCGTGGGCGTGAACAGTAAGAGCCGAGCGGGCGAGCCGACGAGCCGCTCGGCTCATTTGCCACCACTATGTTTGCCTGTGGTTGAAGTGTTGGAATGTCATGGGATGAAAAAGTGAGATATGCTATTTCAGTTGTGGATGTTGAAAAATGTGAGGTTTTGGAGGAGGTGGAAGAAACAGGGAATGCAGAGGATGATGGACAAGTTGAGCACCATATAACACTATGTTGTGGAAGTATATGATGATTGTACAGAGGGTGATGATCTGTATGCAATAGATGAGGTCGAGAGTACATGCGAAATAGATGAAATGCAAACAATCACAGATGGTGATCATGAGGTACATTCAATAGAAGTTAACATGAATGATAATACTGATGGAGATGCTAATGTTGGAACAGAAGCTTGGGAGTCTGGTGAAAATGTGGGGGCTGCAATGGTTGAACCTGCAGGTGATACTGATTTTAGGCCTACAGTTGTTGAAAATTTGGAGCTTGCAGTAGAGGAATCTGCAGCTGTTGTTGAAGTGGAAGCTACAGTTGAGGAAACTAGAGTTGAATATATGCATCTTGATGATAATACACCCATTGTTGATGATAATCCATAGGAACCTGCAGTTGAAGTTAGAGTGGAGGCTACAGAGGATGAACTTGCATTTAAAGTGGAGGCTACAGAGGATGAACATGTTGATAATGTACAACTGGCGAAGAAAATGTGGTGGAGGACTTTCCAAGAGATGTGGAACCTACGATGCCTCCTGTTGAATATGATGGGGACCCTGAATTTTAACAATAACACTTAGAGGACTTTAGTGATCTAGAATATGATTTGGAGAAAAATGTAGCTGAAGATGATAGTAATGAAGATGCATTCTTCGAGTTGACTGAACCTCTTGATATTGGTAATGACAATATGAGGGATGAAAATCAGGGCAATACAGGGGCTGCAAATGGTGATGGAATAGACTACGATGACTCAGATGACCTGAGAAGCATTCCAAGTGACAATGAAGAAGGGTGTTCATCCTCAAGAGCTAGGAATGAGATTTAGTTTAACTCTGCAACTGACATATAAGATACAAAATTCCAGATAGGTAATGATCTTTTGTACTTCTTTCCTTTCTTATTATATAATAATGGTATACCAAAGATAATGAGTGTGCTCTATTCCATTCAAGCATGAAGTTTGACAACATAAAGACAACGAGGAATGCAGTTGTACAATGTTCAGTAAAAAATGCAAGGCAGATAAAATATGTGAAAAATGAAGGAACCAGATTAAGGGTGAGGTATGAGAATAACTATCCATGGGAGTTATATGCCCACCAATAGCCAGATAATAGTTTCAAGATTAACACCTTCAAGATTGAACATTCTTGTACAAAGGTGCGGCAGAACAAAAGAGTACATGTTGTGTACTTGGAAAAGAAGTACATACTTAAGTTTAGATCATATTCAAAATTGTACATGAGTAGTTTCATTGAGACAATGAACAAGGACTGCATGTATGAGATATCAAAGTATCAATTTTATAAGACAAGAGAAAAATGTTTAAAAGCTATTAACGGTCTTGTAGCTGAGCAATACAAGATACAATGGGACTATGGTGAAGAACTGACAGAACAAATACTGGCAGCATAGTTCAAATTGGAGGTTCAGGACCCACATTCAAAAGATGTTGCATAAGGATTTTAGCTGCAGTTGGTATTGATGGAGAAAACTGCATGTTCCCTATTGTATGGCTTGGAATGGATGCTAAAAACAAAAGAAAGTGGGAATGGTTTATAGAACTTTTGATTGTTGACATTGGGATGTATAATAGCAGGACTAGGACCTTCATATCTGATAAATATAAAGGTTTGTAGACTTCATTAATCATTTATGTGAAGTAGCTGAGTATAGGTGTTGTGCAAGACACATGTACATTAATTTCACTTTGATGCATAGGGGCCTCAGGATGAAAAGTCTATCCTGGTCTGCAGCTAGAGCAACAACCTTGCCATGGGAATAGGTCATAACAAGAGAACATGCACAAATTTCATTACCTACAAATACAAGTTCCCAACCAGGTTCAGAAGCATATACTCAGCAACAATCACAGCCAAAATCACAAGGCAAAAGAAAAGCATCTACATTCAATAAATCTCAGGTACAGACGAAGAAGAAGGGCAAGAAAAAAAGAACTCAGCTTTTACTGTTTCTATGTTGTCTTAGACTGCTTTTGTATTGTCTATGATCTTTTGTAAGGAATTAATATCATACTTGTAAATCAATGATCTTTTGACATTTTTTGGCTAATATGAGTTTGACATGTTCTTTAGATGATGTACATTTCAATTGAAGACGAAAAGAATGCTCAATATTGCAATCCCTTATTTCATTGTTATACATTCGATTTATGTTTTATTTATTGGAAGTAAAATAGGTGCGAAAATGGTCGTATTTAAACCAAATATTGTCAAAAAAATTTATAAAGAGTTAAGTGCCTCAAATACAACTGAGTATAAAGTTTGGGACTGCTGCTGAAAATGGTTTTAAAAGTTTGGGTCTTTTCTTGCAATTAGTTCGAAAGTTTTGGGACTTCTTATGTGACAACTAAAAAATGTTTGAGACTGCCTCTGAGACTTATGTAATTGATTTGGTACCATCGCTGCACCATCTTCATTATGTTTTTCAAGCAAAATTTCCCTTGTATTTCTGAATCATTCATTATCAGCAAAGAAGAAGAATATAGGATAAATAAAACATCGAAGCAGAGCTGAATAATAACTAGCGGTGGCAAAAATGCTCGGAGGATCGGACGGCTCGGAAAAAGTCCGAGCCTGGCCCGGCTCGGGCTTGGTGGAACTGAGCCCAGGCTCAGGCCGAGCTCCAATTTGGGGAGTCAGCTCGAGCTCGAGCCCGGGCGCTTGGGCGAAGCCCCACTTTGGGAAGTCGGCTCGAGCCTCGGCCAGCCCGTGGCCCGGGCGAGCCTACTATTTAAAAAAAAAAAAANGAAAAAAAGAACCAAAAAATTTGAGCCGGCTTGGACCGTTAAGGCTCGGGCCAAAAGCTTGGGCCGAGCCTCATTTTTTTTGGTCGGGCTCGACTCGGCTCGGGCCAAAAAAAGCTCGGGGCTCGGCTCGGCTCGGTTCGTTGACACCGCTAATAATAACATGATTTATTACTAGAAAATAAGTTATGGGACAATAGACCACACGATTTGTCACTATGAGACCCACATCACAACACAGAAACCTAACATCTTAGCTTAGACCTAACTCAGATCTAAGTACAGATCTATTTTACAAAAACTCCACATACAAATCCAATTATCTAAGTCTTCCATGCAATACTTGTTGTATGGAGGGTGTTTATTTAATGTTTCATCCCTCTTAGCCCGTAGAAGTCTAAGAATCAGCTCATTCAATCTCTCACATATTGGAGGGTCAACCCAATCGAAGAAATTACATCCACCTGCATCATGACGTCGTGGGCAGTTGATAAACCTTCTTCTTGGGTTCAAGTTCGTCCATGAAGTCTTCGTTTCCACATGGAACCCACATATACAGACAATCATCTCCATCTCTTTTCTGAAAAGCATATGACCGTTATTAGAGGTAAGAGAGAGTAAATATCCCACAATGTGAAGGAAAATGTACAATGATTTGAACAATATCAAACGAAAAATATTGATTGGACAAAGTTGCCCTTCCTTAAAAAGGTTAATATACTTAATTTATTAATTTTTCAGGTCAACTAATGGTGTTTTGGACGGTTTCCATCCAAAGGGACCCCTATGCATATTTATGAAAGGTTAATGACCTCATCTAGCACAAAATGAAGGTTGGTTAAAGTCTACAAAAGTTGAAAGGTTAGGGACCATTGTTGCAATTTTCCCAAAATATTTTCTTTTCAGCTCACCTTGCTGATAGTAATGACAACTTTCTCATTTTGTTTTTTTCCAAAATAAAATAAATAAATAAATAAAATCCAATTCCGCCATCTCTGGTGCCCTATTGCAATATTCTTTTCAGAAATAGCATTTTCGGTATCCTGTCGACTCGTGTAACACAATCAACTTTATGATGAGTAAAGGACAATTAGGAAAGGTTTGACTACAACAATTCGCACATTGAGAACCTTGGTCTAAAGCAAAGCGAACAAGATAAAGAATTGAACTAAGGATCCATTTGATTGTAAAGGTGGAAAGAAAA